AAAGAATTGAGGCTAGGACTGTCGTAGCCTCTCCTTGGCTTGGAGCAACCGTTCATGGACACCACCAGATCTGCCTCAATTGCGGTATTGTTGGATGAACGTTGCAACAAAGACATGTCAGTTTGCCACTTAAACGAGCTACATAATCTTGGCTAGGAGCTGGCCGCGCTGTCAGCCCAGATATGCTGCTTCTGCTTTGTTGGTGGGGTCACAGGCGGGGGCACAGCTACAGGCACAGGTGTTGTAGGCAAAGGTTCACGCACCGGTGCAGGCACCGATGTGCGCACCGGTGTTGGCACGGGTGCAGGCACACGTGTGGGCACAGCACTTGTACATGGCACAGCAGCAACACGCTCCTCTTCTGGTTCGGTCTTAACCACGTCATCCGGAATCCAGATGACCTCCCTAACTGGATCTGAGCTGGCACTTGCAGGAGCGGCTGGAAGTCCTGGCGATTCTACCGCTGCGATGGCTGCACTGGCCTCTGAAGCAGGTGCGTTTGCAGGAGTTGCTGGGGGTCTTGGCAATGCTGGTGCTGCTACGGCAGGGGCTTCTGAGGCAGGTGCGATGCTAGGAGTTGTTGGGGGTCCTTCTGCAGAGCCGGCAGGGGCTTCTGAGGCAGCTTCGGTGCTAGGAGTTGTTGGGGTTCCTTCTGCAGAGCCTGCAGTGCTGCCTCTGCTTGGGGCTGCGCTTGGGGCAGCATTTGAACTGGATGGGCCTGGAGATTCATCTACTTCATCCTCATCCTCATCATCACCACCCGCCTCAGAAGCACTGACACTATAATCCCATTAGTGCAAAGGATTTTTACAGTAGCACAGAACTTGCGAGCCAGCCCGAACTATAAGCTCAGGAACATCAGGGTCCAGAGAACTCGAGGATCTTCTCGAGTTCACGTAGTCCACTAGTTCCTCAGGCACATGGAAACCGAGAAAAGGAATGCAAGCAAACAGCCTTTCCTATATGTAAAGGAAGCCAACTCAGACTTGTTTAAATGACATCAAGGTTCTTGCAGGTGGGGATCCAAGATGAGAAGCAGCTGCTGAAATACAGGATCCTGAAAGGCTCTCTTGAGCTTGGACATTACCTTACACCCAAGAAACAAGCTTCTGCAGAACAGAACTCACAGGATACACATGTCAAAAACTATACATCCTGAAGTTACTGGAAAGCTTCCGTGGACACTTCTCTCTTCCGGATCTTCAGCTTCAAGAAAGCTATGTACTTCCGAACCGACCAAGCTGCTTTGTCAATTTCCTGAAAGGTCACATCCTGCTTTGCCATGCCCATGAGTGCCTGCACCTCTTCTCGCAGGGCCTCTACCGCCGGTGAAGGCGCGATCTTACCGTCATCCATCACTGCTTGCAGCTTAGCCATCATCTCACAAACAGGCTGTAGCACAGGTCCGTTCAAAGCAGCTGTGCGAATCAAGACCTTATCCTTCGAGGAGGGGTGCAACAGCGAGCCACCTTTACGAAGCCTTTGCCTGATCTCGGGAGATTCGTCCCATTTCTGGGCCAGGCCGGTGAGATCCACTTGACGAGTTTCGCTAGCCATGGGTCGAGGAAAGTGAGAGGCACTATTTTGATGTCGATCAAGATGCAGCAGAACAGCCACATTGACAGCAGAAAAAAATACGAAAGGATTATCAACGTCCTATTCCACTTTGTAGTCGGATGCAGACTGCTCTCGTATATAGATTGTGACACATCAGGGTCCGAGCTCAAAATTCTGGCAGGAATGCACACACATCAATATGTGAACAATCAAGCTGTGCAACTTCCGGCAGTACGGTGGTGCAACCCCTGCATCGGCTGAGCTCTTGGCCTTGAATGAGTCCCGTACTTTGGAGCGAGGCATCGGATCAAAAGCACAAGTCGTGCCATGTTCAGGCTGTTCAGGGCACAGTGAAGCTAAGTATACGGATGTTCTAACATGATGAGGGCCCGATAAAGATGAGATAATCTTCTCTCGATTATGTGACATGCTGCTCCTTCGGAAAGCCACGATCCTTGGCGGCACCTGACATGGAAAGGCGAGTCTGATTCGAGGTATCATCCCCCCGAGCCTTTATGATAACTGAAGAGTAGCATCTTAAAAATAGGGCTAACTAGGAATAACCGGGTTTTTTTCTTGATAGCCGGGTTTTGGGCCAGGTATGAGTCCAAAGACGGGTTATGTACCAATAACCTCTTTTTTTTAGGGTTAAGGGTTCCCCAGGTAGGCCTCCTCTGTGAGGTGGACTGCCCACTCTGCCCCCGACATGTCCCGCAGATCCTTCATGTCCTTCCAGCTCCCTTGACTGGCTCGTTGCACCTTAGCCTGTAGCCACTCGTCCCGGGCCTGTCTTCTGGCTTTATGCGCCTCCTTCCACGCATCTTCGGTCCCTAGCTGCTTGGCCCTTCTGAAGGCCAACTTCACCCGGCTCGGGTCTCTATAGCGCACCCCTTTGCGCGGTCTGGTGAATGACTCAGCAAGCTGCTGCACTTTGGTCTGGTTCAGGCACATCTGGGCGGGGATTTCACCTACCACCGTTCTGGGCTTAGTTACACCTTGGGGGATCTGCGCTGGGCAAGGTCCCAGGGAGAACACTGCATGGACCCTGTCGTGGTCGCCCCCGATCTCCTTGTACGACCCTTCTGCGATGTTGATCACCGAGCCCCTTGTGCGACAGGAGGCCACTCCATCAATTTGCCTCCCTCTGACACCTCTGCGGCGGGGCCTGCTTGTCGGGGTCTCCCACTGTGCCACTCCCGGTGGATGCAGACAATATCTCCTCCGTTCGAGTTCCGAGAGGAGGTAGTCTGCCCTGCCAGTCGTCGGCAAGGCCTGGCCCCTCTCGCCTGCCGCCCTGGTCCACTTCAACTGGGTGTTGAAATCTGCCAGAAGAATACTCGGCAGAGCCGTGGGTGGCCGAAGCGACAGAACCTCATTGGCCTCCTCAGCAGTCTGGGCATCAGAGACCCCCGTGCTCAGTCTGGCAGAGCAGACCCACAGCTGAGCCCCTGTTCGCACATGCCTGAGTCGTAGCCATACTCCTATGTTGCTGGCCTTTCGTCGTAGACAGACGTACTCCGCGGGGGAGAACATGATGCCGTTCCCTCTCCACTGGTTCTCCTCCCTGTACTGCACAAGCATCTTGCCATCATGCCTGGTGGTTTGCCACCCCACTGCTACTCGAGGCAACTCCTGAAAGGCAAAAATTGCCTGACTTACCTTGACTGAAGAACTGTACTTGATGGCGGCAACAGCCGCTTCGACTGCTTTGCCACCGATGTTCCAGGAAACAAAAGTCACTGCACCCTCGTCGGCTTCAGCCCCTACAGGGCAGCTTTCCAGGTGTTCACTACATGCACCCCCCTCCGAGCCTGTTACAGCACGAGTCCATCGGCTATGTTGCGACACTGCCCGCACTGTCTGTCGGGCCGACCCGGCGGCTCCAAGGGTTGAAGCTATACACTCTTGCTCGAATTCTACATAGCCGTCCTGCTCGTGTCACTCCGAGATGAGGCTCTCCCACCGCTCAGCGAGGCCCTCGCTCGCCACTCCAAGTGCTCTGGCAATCTGGTGAATGTCGATCCATGCTCCCGGGGCCTTCCCCTTTCGGGTCTCCACGCCTTTAGGCGAGGGTCTCGTTGCACTCGAGATAAGCTGGCCCCTCATCCACACTGAGCCCGCCCCCCACTCTACGTCCATGGCATGCTTCTCGGACTGGTTCGCCTCCAAGATCAAGCGCTTCGTTTTCCCAGCATGCCCTGCCCTGAATCTCTCCATCTTCGTTTTGCTCAATGCCGCCCAGAGCGTCTTCCCCACGGGCATGGTTTTTGAGGCCATGGAGGCCCCACGGATCTCCTGCACTAGGCGGATGAGGTCCCTCTTCAGTTCCTGCTCCCCCTGCCCGGCTGGCCACTTGACCACTCCCATGGCATGTCCTCTCCGGGGACCGGTTGTGAAGATGTCCTGGAACCGCTCTAGAACCCCAATTCTGCCCAAGAGCTCCCTCAGTTCAGGTAGCAGGTCGTCTCGATGAGTGTCTGCATCCCACCCTCCAAGTATCACAAGGTTTTTCTGATGACCATCCCCGCTCGAGGAGCCCAGGTATGCAGTACTGCCCTCATCCTTTCTGCTTTCCAAGGCCAGGACGCGAGCCTCTAGCTTCTCACTTTGGTCACGGAGCTGTGAGATGTAGTCAGCATGGCGACTCATCTCAGACTTGATGCCACGGAATTCGTTCATCGTGACCTCCCGGAGTTCTGCCACAGCCCCGCGGATCTCGACCGCTTGAGTCCTGGCAATGGTCTCGCTCTGCTGCTGAAGTAATGCCTGGAGATCAGCTATGGTGATGGACTCGCCCCTGTCCCTGCGACGCCCGGCAGACCCTGCTGCTGTCTTCGCCACCTTCGGGCTACCTTCATGCGGGTGTTCATCATCGGAGGGCACCGGGATTTCTTCTGCCATGCCCGACACAGGACAGGAAGGGACACACGAGGAGGACCCGGGGGAGGGGACACACCTGAGCCTTAAGCTTGAGCCTAGAGTTTAGGGTTAAGGTTTTAGGGTTTAGGGTTTATGATTTAGGGGGGTCGGAGGCAAGAAGAGTCTTCTTGCCTTGGTAAGTACGAACACCAGCGCCGATGTTACTAAGACTGGTGCTGGAATGCGAGAATAGTGGACTCAAGCCGAAGAACCATCTCACAGACACAGTTGCACATTAGTCGTTAGTCAACAGCCAGGTCCCTGCACTACTGAAGATGAAAAGCCAATGTGGGACAGATGAACCGCCAGAAACGGACAAGATTCAGACACCGTAGAACCATTTTGCTGCATTGGGTCCGACACTACCAGTACAGTCTTTCAGGGCGACATGGGCATGGGTTCTGGGTGTCATGACATGGCCAGAACTCTGAGCTGAAGGTTCCGGGAGCAGGTGCAATGCTTCGGGTTCAGGCGGTCAATCTCACTGAGTTGCTGACGACACTGCTGTCAGGAGTGCATTTGCGCGATAGGGTGACCTCTGCCCTGAAGCCTACATGATGTCAAAAGCGGACGAAGACGTGCACTTGCCGGCCTCCCTTCACCTCCAGGCACTTGTCAACAACCTGGTGCACATGGATGGACTGCGAGTGGTGTGAGTGATGAAAGATTGCGGTACTCAGCTATTCTTTCCGCTGCTTCGGTACATGCAGGCAGGCAGGGAGGGAGGGAGGGAGGGAGGGAGGGAAGGGTGGGGAGAGAGGGAGGAAGGGAGGGAGGGGAGGGTGGGGAGGGAGAGAGGGAGGAAGGGGAGGGAGGTAGGTGGATGTATGTAGGTGTGCATGCATGCATGCATGTTTGCACGTGCATAAGTATTTGCTCGGTATCTTTTGTGTTTGCACAGCACACACACCTGCAATCAACACACAGGGATTTGGAGACGTCGATGACATATGTTTTCTTGTCCAACCTGTAAGCAACATACCAGCAGTTAACAAACACAAATCGCACTGATTGCATCCTTACAGAGGGACACGCCTCGTCGATATCGAGATCGTCGGTCTTCTTCATGCTGCCCCTGCCAGATGCGTATAGGAGGCACCTTTAGTTCATCTGGACAAGCCCTTTAGGCCGCCGAAGTCTTTACCAGGGCCTTCTCATAATTAGAATAGTAGGGCTTCGGGGTCCTTGATAGTATAATTATAGTTAGGTAACATTCCGAAGCCCTGCGAAGGCGCGCGCGCGCACGGCAGGACAGGCAAGTGTTTTGCAGTTTACTTATCACGAAAAACACAATATTCTTCTTGCTTTGCCTGGCTGTGCAAATCACGCGTTTCTGCGTCACAACGCATTTAAAATTCGAAAAAAGGCTGCCAACATGAAGATGCCAACATAGTGAGTTTTGTTCGGTCTGTTCATAAGACTGGGATCTGTCAGGAATTGATCAAAACTCGAGGAATTTGAGCTTTCGACGTTGCTACAACAAGAAGAATTCAAGACAAGTGCAAAACACAAGAAATTTGCAGGAGCATTTTGCATCGTAAAAACCAAGACGCGAAGGCCCTTGAGTACATGACGAGGTCATATATGTGCAGTGTACCCACAACAACTCGAGGAAAAATTGTGAATTTTGTTTCAATTGCAGCGCAGGCAGCAGGCACACGGACGGACTCTCGTGCGTACAAACGCAGGATGCAAATACAATTGTTTTAGCTGTTCCTTGATTTGAAGTGACTGTGGTATCTTCCAAAAACGTGGCAGCCTTGGCGTTTCGTGACTTCGACGTGTTTGCTTGCGCTTTGTTCTGTCATTCTTTTCTTGGTTTGTTCTAGGGTTTGTATTTTTTGTGGACACGTCTGACCGCGTGACAGGAGCCACGGACACTGAGCAGTGGCGTTCTGTCGGGGTAACACTTATTTACAGGACCTAAATATGGCTAAGTTATAGTTCAGTATCTCAGAATCAAACTCAGTCTGCGTGGGTCGCATTAGAAACGACAGCATGCACAACATGTTCTTCTAGGTAATGGTGCCCCTATATTACCCCACAACCCTGATCTTGCTGAACCCTCAAACAGCGCCTTC